AAAATGTAGGCACCTGTTGTGCAGTGCATGAGGATGGAGGAATGGATAGTCTTCATGGAAGCAAGGTCAGAGAGTAGAGAGGGGAGAAAGGGTAGGAGATGAGTCAATGAATTGTGGGGAAGGTGGAGAAGGGAAACTGCAAAGAGAAGGGCAGTGGGACACAGATAAGTCATTTTAATTTAAACTTTTAAAACTGCACATTTAAAACTACTGTAATGTTAGAGAGATGAAATACCTACAGAATTAATCTCTAACAAATAGAAATGACATTTAATACATTACACATAACAAAAGATCACTGATTTTTATCTATATATATAATTTTAAACATTCACAGCTAAATGCTATCCAAGTATTGCTAAAGCTTTTTAATGCAATATTTTTGGAGGAGCATTTCATACAATTCATTGCAGACCCTATCTAATCAACATAAGTGGACCTGAGTTGGTAGATGCAGGGAGTGGGGCTGCAGAATAGAGAGCCAGCACTTTTCCCTCACACTTCAACTCCTGGTACAACAACTGCTCCAAACCTTTTCACAACTGCTTTCAGAGTAATTTGTTCTAATATTCCAAATGCAACAGCTCCCCAGCTCCTTCTGCTTTTCCCCAGCACTGCTCCACCTCAGGTACCCTTCTCAGCTCCTAGGAAGCCTAATCCTTCTCTCTCAAAAAGCTAGAGAGAGAATGTCCTTTCTTCAGGGCCACTGCCCTCTTATAAGGGCCAGCTGGGCCCTGCTTAAGCTAGCCATAGCTGTGGCTGCTTTCTCCATCAGACTACCTTTTCCCAGGTGCGACTGTGTCCAGGGCTGCTTTAGCCCCTTCAGGGTCAGAGTGGGTGACCACCCCGCTACAAGTACCTAATATTTAACAGATACCTAAATATCTCAAGTTATTGTTGATGTACATGTAACTTTGCTAAGTTATAAAAGATGTGTAAATATAATATGCAGATAGCTAGGTATGTACTGCATATATGTTCAACAGAGGAAAAATTGGGCATAGATCAAGGGCTTGTATAATCATCTTAAAAGTGATGGCATTTCAGGACACATTGTTCTAAAAATGGGCAAAATTATACAGAGAAAATTAGAGCCGGCAGAAAGGTAGGTCTTGATCCTGCAAAGTCTTACTCATCTGGAAGTACTTTGGTGAGTTTGAATTTGCATGAAGATAAGATGCATCCATGTTCAGAATGTCTCCTCCCATCCGGGTAACAAATGTTCAGGTGTGATTCTTCCATCTTGATCCCTCCTGAGATTTTAGCAATCAGGTCACCCAATGATAGTTTATAGTGTAAGAGCAAATCCTGGGGTGGAAAGGAGTTGGTAGGAGACAATACTATATCCCTTCTTAAAATTGCGAAGTAGTTCAATATTTCTGTGAAGAGGATAGAAGAAACAGGGATGCCTTCTCCATTCCCCACTTAAATACAGTAGAACCTCAGAGTTATGAACACCAGAGTTACAAACTGACTGGTCAACCACTCTCATCATTTTTGGGAGTATGCACTCAGGCAGCAGAGACAAAAAAAAAAAAGAAAAAAAAGAAAAAAAAGAAAAGAAAAGAATGTTCCGTACAGTACTGCATTAAATGAAAACTACTAAAAAAAATAAAGAAGTTAAATAAAAAGATTTGACAAGGCAAGGAAACCGTTTCTGTGTTTGTTTCATTTAAATTAAGAGGTTAAAAGCAGCATTTCATTTCTGCATAGTAAAGTTTCAAAGCTGTATTAAGTCAATGTTCAGTTGTAAACTTTTGAAAGAACAACCACAACGTTTTGTTCAGAGTTACAAACATTTCAGAGTTACGAACATTTCAGAGTTACAAATAGCCTCCTTTCCTGAGGTGTTTGTAATTCTGGTGTTCTACTGTATTTACAATTCAAGCCCTCGATACTCTACAGTCATTATCAACAGGATACAGTCCTTTGCTCTAGCTGTTATGAGTGGTTTTGTTATTTTTTTGTTAATTTTGCAACTGTATGGTAAGTGTCTGTGTCTGCTTCATTTTTCTTTGCCTCCAAGGCTCCAAACTGATGCTTCATTGAAGATGCCACAACCTGCCAGTGAATAAACATTTAAAAATCCAGAAAGTTGTTTCACTTCTAATATGTTTATAGGATTTTGATTTAAAAAACAACGGACAAACAAAAAAGCCCTGTATCCCCAACTACCCCAGGCACAATCTGAGGTCAGCAGTTTGGCAAAGCACATGAGACAGACAAGACAAAGAGAAGTAAATCCAAGAATGTGCCTCCTTCATAGAGTTCCAAAGCCCCTAAGGACTCCCCCCCCCCAGCTTCTTTTCACCCTTGAAGTCATGTGCTAAACACGAGGATTTAGGCTGTGCTAATCCTCCTAATGAGAGCTTCTCCCACCCTCTATATAAATCTTGGCAAGCACCAAAGAGCAAAGGACATTCATGGCAGTTAGAGTCAAGGATTAAACAAAAAGCCAAATGCCAACTTCATAAGCAGTGAGGGAAATTATCTCAGTCTGCTGAGAATCTGGGAAAAAGTGCGGTCCTCCTCTTGTCCAGAGGCGGTTCATGAAACACCCTCACTCCTGTCATTGATTGCTGGAAGCCAAACCCGGCACAGAGCGTGGTCCCTGCAGCAATGACCTCCCAGCTGCAGTGGGTGAGATGGCTCTGCTCTGCTCTCCTGGGCTACCTGAGCTGCTGCTGCGCTCCGCAGGCTGAGGCACAGTTCCCCCGTGTCTGCATGACAGTAGAGGCGCTGCTGGCCAAGCGCTGCTGCCCAGCCTTGGGGCAAGAGCCAGGCAATGTGTGTGGCTCCCAGCAGGGCAGGGGATCATGCAGGGAGGTGCAGGTGGACACCAGGCCATGGAGCGGCCCGTACACCCTCCGCAACGTGGATGACCGGGAACGATGGCCCCTGAAGTTCTTCAATCAGAGCTGCCAGTGCACAGGTGAGAAGAGGAGGAAAGGGATGGACTAACTCTGCTCCAGGGAAGAGCAAATCCCTGATTGTAGAAAAGGGATCAGGAAGGGTGATCCCTCCCAGCTGTACTACAAATATGGCCAAGCCGTACTCTACCGGTGAGAGAGGAACATGAGCTGGCCTAGACACCAAACAGGTTTAGAGCATGGTTCTCTCTCATGCTTAAATTTTGTTTTTTCCCTCTGTACTCACAGGTCAGGAACTCCCCGCCCAGCGCCCCCCATTATTGTTACATGGTTTGGCCATGAGGCTGTTCCATCCCACCTCTACCCATATTTAAATCTGTTTTGTTAGGTAGGATAGACAGGGTTTGTGACTGTAGAAATGTGTATGGATGAAGCCAGGGATTTGGAGCAGAGCCCGGAGCTGGAGCTGGAGCGTGGAGCAGCTTCGGAGCAATGGAGCTGCAGGTTTTTGCCTGGAGCTGGAGCAGAGCCCGAGCATAGCTCCAAAGCCCTGGATGAAGCTGTACACCTATATCAGCACATGTTGAGTTGGGATTAATTACTACCAGAGTAATATTTTGCACTGTCTGCCCTGAAAATTTTATGGATGTCAGGGATCCCAACTGGTAAACTTAGTCCTGCTTTGCAGTGCTGACAGGACCTAATGTTAAGAATTGTGCTAAAGCCAACAGGACTTAGTAGTGCTTTAATAATAGTGCTAAAATTTGGACACATGCCGGGATTTAGTACAATGCTTACAAGATAACTGAGTCCCATCAGCATTGCAAAATAGAACAGTGGTTTTAACTTTATGGAGAGAAAACTGCTTTGTAGCAGCCTCCAATGCAGTTGAATTTGCAGTGCAGACAGAACCTTAGATAAGCAGCCCCATTGACTTCGAGTCCTGAGTACACTATGTGAACATCAAACCCTCAATATCCTATAGCACACTGACTTCAACGGGACGATTCACCTGACTAAGGACTGCAGAATTAAGCCTTAATCCTGCAAACACATATACATGTGCCTAACTAACTGTATGTGCATGCATAAGCTTTTAGAAGACTGGGGCATTTGATCGTGAACTCTTGTCTTTTTTCTATGCTATCATATAGAACTATGTATAAAAGATAATGTTAACAGAACACTGTTAAGGTTGAAAAGTCAGACACTCGAAAGTTAGGAAAATGCCAGAATTAAGTCTGCCTGTGCAAACTTAATTTGCCCCCCTCCCTTGTGCGTATGCTTTATGATATAGTCTTTAATTACATGATCACATACTAATTTTTCCACAGGACCCCTGCATCATTCAGTGCACAGGATAGACAGTGCTCACTGAATGAGCAGCTAGTCAATATGTTGGTATATCCTTGTTGTTCAATGTGTGGTCCTAGACCTTATTTACTATACATTATTCAAACCCTTCACTGAAGACAGAATTATTACTTTCCTCATGGGCATGTCTATGGCACTCATCACTGTAGTATCTGAGTGCTTCATAAACATTAATTAAGGTTTCTCCCTAACACCCGTGTGAGGTGTGGGGGTGGTATTATCCCTATTTTACAGATTGGGAACTGAGGCCCAGATCCCAAAAGGTACTTAGGCACCTATGTCTGACTTTTAGGCTTTGCCGTGATCCACAAAACCCCTGCTCAGTTGCTGCCTAACCTCACTCGTGGACTAAATTTCTACTGTTGAAGTTCCTTAGTTGCCTAAGTTTATGCCGCTGAGCACATGCACTGCTGCCTCACTTGTATGTGGATGCCTATTTCCCACCTAAGCTCCAGTGAAGTCCACAAACTGGGGGAAGATAAGCAGAGGAGAGCCTATCTCACCTATGGGGCTCAATGTGGTAGGTATGCTCAGAGGCTGCCTACTGGACCAGGTTCCATTCAAAATCCAGCCAGTGGCGAGGGTGCCCCCTCCCTGTAACTTTTAGCTCACTGGTTAGACTGCTTGCCCAGAATGTGGGAGGCCCAGGTTTAATTCCCGCTGTGACTGATGAGGAGAAAAGCTTTGAAGAGGGGTAACCCACTTCTCAGGAGAGTACTTTAACCACGGAACTATGGGAGATTCTGATGTTTGGGTCTCTCATCTCCTGGTGAAGTTGTTCCACTGTAGAAAAATGATTAAAAAGTTATTGGAGCAGGGAGATTGGCTCCAGGTCTCCCTCCTCTTAGGTGAGTACCCTAACCACCAGGCTACAGAGTCATTCTTTCTCTGGCTCCTTTGTTGAGCCAGGCCAGAGAGATTAAGGTTAAAAGTATCCACTAAGTTTGGGTGCCCAGTTTGAGATAATTGGGACCTGATTATTCAGAGTATTTGCATAATGTAGGACTTTATATTTCCAAAGCATAGCTCCCACTGACTTCAGTTGGAGCTGTCAGTGCTCAGTGCTCCTGAGGTCTCACACCCCAGGGTCTCATCTCAGGCATCCAGAAAATGGAATACACAGTTAGTGACCACCTGTGAACTGTCTGGTTTCAGACTTGCCCAGCATTATCCAGGAACTCTGTGACAGAGGCAGAGATAGACTCCAGTTCTCCAGCACAGCATTCAACCGCCTTAACCATGAGCCTGTCCTTTCTCTCTCTTTTTTTTTTGATTCGCTGCCTTATTCCCTGCACACCTTCCACCTGCTGCAACAAATGAGACAGAGGTCCAACAAACAACAGCTTCCTTAACTACACAGCCCTGCTCCTTCCCCAGAGCCGGTCCATCCTGCACACTGAATCAGGCAGGAGTACTATGGAAAAAAATAGTCTGTGATCATGTTTATAAAGTCTGTATCATAATACCCATGCACAGGCAACCTTAACTCTGGCGTTTCCTAACTTTGGAGAGTTTGACTTTGCATCTTAATAATGTTCTTTTAATGTAGATTTTGGCTAGACTGATAATATTAATCCAAGTATCGGGGGGTAACCATGTTAGTCTGTATCCACAAAAACAACAAGGAGTCCGGTGGCACCTTAAAGACTAACAGATTTATTTGGGCATAAGCTTTCGTGGATAAAAAATCTCATTTCTTCAGATGCATATTAATCCAGCATTTCATATTTTCCAAACACTTTACAAATAATAAAATAATAATAATAAATTGCATTACTATCTCTCTTTTTATTTTGGAAGATCCCCAGAAGTTTAGCAAACTAAATTCAGGTGTCACAGATAGCCATCTGGATCGTTATTCAGGCAAGCACTTGGGCATGTGTTTGAGTTTAAGCAAGTGCTTAATACTTTTCTGTACAGGTAGGCTTTCCTGGATAAGGCTCTGGTGCACAGCATGCTTAATTATATTCAATGTGGGGGGTGCACATGGGCAAATGTGAGAGATTGTGTGTGTCTATGTGTGTGTGTGTGAGAGAGAGAGAGAGAGAATTCTGGCCAAGAATAGCTTTACCAATCTGACTCTTATTGCAAATACCATGGGATTTTAAATGTGCTTTCAGAACAGAGAGGATCTTGTTTTCTAAGATCTCATCCAAATTACCGCTATATAATGATTTATCTGCTGTGGTTAGGAGCTTTGTCTTATATAAGCAATTATATCCCCCTGAAAAAAAAGTCCCGATTATTCACACTTGCTATTTGGTCACCCTAGTTGTGGTAGAATATCTAAGTTGATTGAAACCTTTAATTCTAAAGAATTTAAGTATTCGAAACCTGATGCTTTAAAGTTTAAGGAATCAAGTCCCCAATCCTACTCATATGCTTAACATTACTCATACGAGAAGCCCCATTGAAGTCAAATCCAGTTGATGTTGGACTACATATGGAAGTAGGGTTACGAGATAGCAGCTGTGAAAAAACGGGACAGGGAGCGGGGGGTAATCGGTTCCTATATAAGAAAAGGTCTCCAAAAACGGGACTGTCCCTTTAAAAATGGGACATGTGGTCACCCTATATGGAAGTAAAGTTAAGCATATGAGTAAGTGTTTACAGGTTTGCGTCCTAAGCTTGCTGACTTATTGTTTAATCCTTTGTTCTTTCTTTGGAGCAGTCATTTTCCTCACATCTTTACATCCAGCTTTTCTCTTTGCCTTCATTACCGCACGATTTTTCCTCTCTTTTATCTTAGGTTCCTTTATACTCCTTCTCTTTACAGTTTCTATTCTATAAATACAGCAGTGATCAAACACAAAACCAGGAGCAACATTTGCTACTCAAGAGATGACTTTAAGAGAAGTCATCTGGACTCTATTTAGATTCAACCAGATTGATGCTGAATGCAGCAGCTCTTCCAGGGGAATGTTAAAAGATCTGTGCTGACTCAGGAGTCGGATTGGTTTTAATAGTTTCCACACAGTGATTGTTGGTTGCTGTGTGCATGCTTTTCTTTCATTCTGCAAATTGGTCCAGTTGCTGAGTGTCCAAGTTTGAAAATTTTTGGTGGGCAACATTTTGTGTTGTCTTCATCAAGTCTCTTAGGTAGCTAGGGTGTAACTCCATTTGCTATGTAGATGATTGTATTGGGCTAGAATATGCCCGTTAGGCACAGCACATCATTAGTGGCAATTTGTAAGCAACACTGATGAAGGATTCTCTAAGAGGCAGTGGCCAAGATTTTCAATATCCATACAAAGGTCTTGTCTTTAATACACGCTAGAGTGGTGTACATTGTAGAGCTCTCTAAAGTATTGTGCTCTAACTGCTCTGTGTAGACCCTGCTGCTGACACAGTAAAAGACTCCTAGTGTGCAGTAATGTAGTACTGTTTCAAACGGAACTGCAGCAATATGTACTAGATCCCTTTTAGAGTGCATCTGCAAGATCTCTGCTGGGCAATTAGAGTGCAGCACTTTAGACCACTGTACAGTTTACACCCCTCTGGTGTGCTTTTCTTCACAGTATAGACAAGCCCTTATGTATCCAGATAAATTGCTTGATTTTACTAATTGCTGAGTACCCAATGGCTCCCACTGTGGTCACTTTTGGCAATTTGGCCACATCTTTTAGTTGCCTATTGGGGAGTTGAACTCTTTTGAAAGTATAACAGTTTTGAGTGCTGGGCACTTTTGAGAAACACGAGTCATTGGTTTTGAGGGGCCCAGGATAAGTAATCTACTAGTTTTCATATATGCATCTGAAGAAGTGGGCTGTAGTCCACGAAAGCTTATGCTCTAATAAATTTGTTAGTCTCTAAGGTGCCACAAGTCCTCCTGTTCTTCTTTCTAAGTACATTTTGGCATAAGTCTAACTGAAAGATAACATACAAACATTAGTTATTTTCAGATGTAAACTTTGCATCTGTTGCATGCTTTTTCCAGTTCATTTAAGTGCACCTACTGTACCTATCGTTCGACTCAGTTTTTGCAAATTCTTATAATGGAAAGGAGTGATTGCAATTCTTGAGACAGTTCCTCCATACCAGAGTGGGGAAAGAAGCTCATTCTTATTTGAATAAGCTGTGTGTTTTGAATTAGACAAAGCACTTTGCAAGCATGATTTATGAATGGCTGCATTAATATGTGGCCCCTGTAAATGGCAATTGACACTAATTATACTTACACTTCAGTTCAAATGAGAAGGGTTTTGTATTTGGGCTAGATTCTGATCTCAGCTACATAAGTGTAAAGCTGAAGTAATTGACAGCAGAATCTGGTATATGATTGTTTACCCACTACAAGGGATTATTGTTAAGCGATCACAGCAGTTTCTGGCACAGATCGTGACAGTGGTTGGATAAGGAAGTACTTCAGAATCACTGAAAAGCTATAAGGAGTTATCAGCATTCATTGCTCTTGCCTCTTTTTCAGTTTTCTAAGTTAAATTTCTGTATTTTGAACGTGTGCTGAACTTCTACCCCCGAGTACAATACGGTAAAGTTCAATCCAGGTCTGAAATTAATCACATTATTTTACCATTACAGTTTTCAAAGAAAAGCGGATGGGCTAGTTCATTTGGTGGAAAGAATAATGTTGACATTAACCTGTGGAAGTACAATTGATAATCAGTCTGAGAAAACAGAGCAAGATTTAAATCCTATTATTTAAGTAATTCTAAAAGTATCTAATAAAGCTTAGTAACTGACAGGATTGCTCAGTGGCAATCCTAAAAGCCCTTATGAAGTGGTTGTAGAATAAATTTGCACGTTGTTGTTATAAGGTTATTTGGCTCTAGATTATGTGGCAGTGCTAAAACTGAGCCATATGGGATTACTGTGCTTCCCTATACCATGTATTCCAGAGATCTTCATAATACTGTAAAAACCTGAGTAGACAGCACAAAAAGTACTTGTCAACAGAGGGATGCCTGCCTGTTTTAGAAATAAGGCAATGGGGTGAGAAAAGACCTTTACACATAGTACAATACAATTTTTCATACTTTTACATAGTATCACTGCACCATTGAATGATACCTCAGTGTGCCACCAGCAGCAGCCCTGTGGTTTGTTATTTTAAAAATACTTTTAAAGAGCAGGAGTCTTTGTCAGACATCCTGTCTTTGGGCTTGATCCTGTACGATGCTGCGTACTCTGGGCCCAGTCTAGTAAAGCACTTTATTATCTGCTTAACCTAGGTAGGTGAGTAATCACATTAAGTTCAATGAGACTATGGGCATATTTAAATGCTTTGCTGGATCAGGGCCAGAGTTCTTAGTAACTTGCAGGATCAAGCCCTTTATCTGGCACTTTATCTTGATAACCAGCCTTCTATGAATCTTGGCCCTGCTGTGTTTCTGGGAAATGAGCCATCTTTTTAGTTAAGCAATTGACAAAGCTGCCAATATTCTCAGCTGTTGAACCTTGCCAGAATAGAAATCTCTAGGGAAAAGACAGACTAACCAACTCAATTCCTTTGCATTTCAGTTTCAGTTTCTTTTGTGTATTGATTAATATAGACACATTTTCCTAAACCCAAACTCTTTCTTAATATAGGAAACTTTGCTGGCTATAACTGTGGTGACTGCAAGTTTGGCTGGACTGGCCCCAACTGCGATGAAAGGAAGCCACTTCTTGTCCGGAAAAATGTCCATGCGTTGACTGCAGCGGAGAAAGAGCAGTTCTTAGATGCTTTAGACCGTGCAAAGAATACCACTCACCCAGACTATGTGATTGCTACACAGCACTGGCTGAGTCTCCTTGGGCCCAATGGAACTGAACCACAAGTTACAAACTGCAGTATTTATAACTGCTTTGTGTGGCTTCATTACTACTCAGTCAGGGACACCCTATTAGGTTGGTACTTTTCTTTACTAAGGCATTTAGAATGTAAAGAAGGTGGTAAAAATGTAATCATTGAACAAAGGTAAGTAAGTTGAAAAGTGATCAAGTCATGGTGAAAGGAAGGATGGTCCAGGGTTAGGGTGCTAGGGCTTATCTACACTGGCAAGTTTTGTCGCCAAAAACTGGCTTTTGGTGACTAAACAGCGATAGCATACACGCTGCAAGGTCACTTTTTTCGGAGAAAAAAACAATCTCCTAGTTTTGGTGACAAAAAGCTTCCACCCTTACGAGAGACTTTTGTCTTTTCCCCTCCCTTTATTGTTGACAAACAGCCAGGTTTTTTTCCGATTTTATTGGCCTCCAGAAAGTATCCTACAATTCCCATGCTGCCGCTCTGGTCAGCGGTTTGAACTCCGCTGCCCTGCAGCCAATCCGCCCCTCCCTCTTGCAAGCCCCAGGAATTTTAAATCTCATTTCCTGCTTGCTGGCTTCCCAGAGGAGCTTCCCAGGTGGCTTCCCAGGTAAGCATGGCTGGCTATCGCACCAAACATGCTCCTGCTTGGACCATTGCTGAGTTGTTGGATCTGATCAGTATATGGAGAGAGGAGTCTGTTCAGTCGCAGCTGCGAGTGACCCGTAGGGATTGGGACACATATGGGCAAATTTCTCAAGGCTTGTGCGAAAAGGGCTATGATCGGGACACACAGCAGTGCAGAGCGAAGATAAAGGAGCTGAGGCAGGCGTACTATAAGACATGGGAGGCGAACCATCGCTCTGATGGTGCACTTAAGACCTGCCACTTCTATAAGGAGCTGAATGCTATCCTCGGTGGTCACCCCACCTCCATTGCCA